CAGTATCGACCAAACAAAATCCCCTTTCAAAATGCTAAAAGCTAACACCCAAAGGAGCATACTTGCCTATAGCCGTTCCCTTCTGAGCTTGTCACACCATTTCTTACGCTCAAACTTTTCGTTGACATGACAGTAGGATCCTCCCCATCTGCATGGGAAGTCTCGATGTAGAAACTTCCTTAAACTTTTACAGTTAGGTACCAAATGAGACAGCTATGCTAGTCGTTCTGATACAGATCTTTCAGAGATGTGGGTCCTTCCTGTTACGGTTCTGTCACGCAGCGAGCAAACAATATGATAATGCGGATTGTGGCAATACTCTATCCCCAACTATGTTGCTTGATCCAGACTCCTAGCACGGCGAATAGTAAGAAGACGAAAACCTCGGACACAAACTTTAATAATCCAACAACACACGATCAACAGGCGATGCCCGGAGCTTCCGAACCCAAGTCAGTGGGAAGAATGGTATCCTGTACGTGGTCGGATTTACATTTCCTTGGAGTATCAATGGGCCATTGATTTTTCATAGTTTGACCTTGAAGATGCCAGGAGTTCGCTAGCACACATAAAAACAGCGTTTTCTGGGGATATTGATATCCCCAACATACATGTGAGGTTCCAAATGATTCTACCTGTACAGCCATAAAGGACAACGACTACTTAAACGTTTCGCTCACCTTCCACAAAGGACAGCCACTCAATGACCTTCGAAGGCTTTGAAGAATACTGAGAAAAGGAACTCACAATCTCAGCGAGATTATCTGAACAAACCGAAAACGAATTACAGGTGAAATTATGCAAAGGCATGGGTGAGCACTAATTCCATTTGCCCGAAAAATTCATTGTTTCACTAAGTGCCTGAGATTACTTCTAGTGGTGTACTGGCATTCATTCTGGGCCAATTATCATTTATTTTTGAAGAGCATGGTCACAAACATAAAAAGTGAGTGCAAGCGATGAATACGAAAGAGTAACAGGAGAATATGGGAGAAAAGATAGAAACGTCTCATTCGAGATTATGCCAAGGGCAGTGCCAGGCTGATGAGGTGAATCCCAAAGTATGTAAAGATTTTGGTATGGGAACACGCGTCTAAGGACCAACAACCAAAGAAAGGACAAGACAATTTGCAACAACTTCACTTATTGCCTGAGCACAAGTGATCTTCTAGGAAAGACACTTATCAAACAGCCGGATATCGGTTTAGCCCCATCAGGAACACATTTTTCAACTTTCTCTTCAAAACAAAGCTACTTCTTAAATTACACACACACTCCCTCTGTCCCGCTCTCTCTGTCTATTGGAATAATCACGTGTTCAAGCAATGGCAAAAAGTACCGAAATAAATAGTCCGCACTTGTACGAGTCGTTGGTGATTTAAAACGGTGATAAATCAGTTCTCACCCTGTTGAAGTATGACATCTCTTCTCCTCCGGCGTCCTTGCAAGGCAATCTGCTCATATGGATAACCTGACGAAACAGCGGAAACGGGAAAATGACGTCTCATTGGAATTTTGCTGCTCACGACTGAAAAAACCTAAATTAGTTGAAGCATGGGCCTTTGGATGACTCTTTTAAGCATTACCGAGCCGAAGCTCCATGTGATTGATGCCCCATGCGGTTAGTTGAATTCTACATTACATGTTGATAGACATCCAGTCTTACCTGTGTCAGAAGGATACATATCCACCCTTACGTTCTGGAAAAATATCTATGGTACAAATAAAAGTCTTGCTCGATAAGTCTGTTGCGTGTAGAAGAAAAAATTATGTCTTCTGAGTCAAATCATTCACTTGACTCGGTAATCCTACTTTTGAACCCAACACTGGAGAGTATGCTGTAACTCTCTTAGCTTTACATCAAATCATACATTCAATGTTTTCAAAGCAACGAGGTGACATCCCCCAGTGAGACACGGGATGCATTTTGTTACCCAGGACTCAGTACTAGTCCTCACCTAGTCCGTCTTCCGTAACTATCTGAAAGTGTGCTCTACATAGCTGATAACTTTAAGCCAGGGTTGATTGGTTTCTCTGTCATTCCACGGAGCCCTTCTTCACTTAGCCCTTACATAATGAACGAATTACGTTGGTCACAATACGGTGAGTTTTGCGTGTCGAATGGAAGTCGTCCGCTTGTTTCATGACTGAGCGTCTCAGCAGATCATCACTGAAACCGGTGTTGGTGCAATCCTTAGTGATATTTCATACGTTCTTGTGTTCTAAAGTATCGCATCTAATGGGAAATAGTTGAGACAAATTACTGGAAAAAAACTTATGAACACCCTTAAGTCTGATAACTGGAGTGAAATCAAGCGAATCTGTAGGTACAGTTAGAAAAGCTAAACGAATAAAGACAGTTCTCCATACATAGTCTCTAGCAAGAGGCATATTGTTTAAATCTGACTTCTGTTTTCGCTCTAGTGCCTGTTTCCAGAAAAAGAACTCACCAACACAACACAACTCACCAACACAACAGGCGAGTGCGTGCGAGAACAAAAGTTACAACGACCCCGCGCTATTTAAAGAGCACTTTTTGACATTGGTCGAGGCTGTCTGATAGGCGTTTAGTGAACACCCATCAACATCGATCGTGCTTCTATGAGCTGCCTGAACGCTGCTCACATTCAATCGTGCTTCTGTGGTGTGCCTGAACACTTACCGACTTTTGCTGAATCGACTGAATGATTGACTAGCCTGGATGCTTGCTGGCTTCCCTAATGAGATTTTAGTGGAGTAAGATTGTTAGATTGTTAGCGCGTGCCAGGTTGAAAGGGCCTTATCAGTCTTCTGACGCGACTGGTACGGCATCTTGGTTGTAGCAATGGATCCTTCTTAGACGGTACTTATGAAGTGGTGGCTATTGATGCTGTTCTTGGGAGATAAAAGGTTTCAAGCAGCAGGTTGAGACCTGTTAGCCGTTCCTCTGCTTTTGGGATTGGAAACTCAGTATGCCGTAACTGATTGACATGCGCTTTCATATCGATGATCCTACCTGGACTCTGTAAATCACTTGACCGATTCTTTTGATAACGAATCCAACATTCCACCTCCTATGACCGGGGCGATAGCCCACACAAGCACGCGGTTACCAGGCCGGAATGTTGGCTTTCCTGTTGTTGATGTTGATGAACATAGGTTTCCACTCAGCAGTGTTGAAATATACGAACGATCGCTTCAGTCTATGCCCAGGACATTAAGCTCACAAGCAGCAAGACACGATACCACAATCACAATGGCCGTCTATCTCCATCGCGCAATTAAATGCACTGGGAAGTTGAAGCAAACCATCTGAAGCATTGTTAGTCTGAATTTTGGTGATTCGACCTTTCCTCAGGTACGCTGGGAAACAGTCATAATGTCGGAAGCTGTATGGAACTGCATTTGAACCGTGCTTCCGTCTGCTCTGATTGTAACATACTTGCGACCAGCATCGATGTGCTTGTCAAATTGTGAAGCGGGATTCTGACTGGTTCCTTCTGCTTCGTGACCTCCGGGTCGACATTGATATTCGGCTAGTTTTTCGCGTTCAGCACTAGGTTTCCTTGTATCCATGTCGATTGTAATCTAAATATTTGTACTTCTTACTGGAATACAGTCGCACAAAAGCCACTCAGCGCATTGCCAGCATGCTGATGGGGGCTTTGCTCCGTTCGAAGTTGCCGTCACGGGGGGTTGCCACGATGTCGTCCCGACATTGATGAAAGCAGGGTTGGATAAGGGTCTCTCCAACATGGCTATGTTGTGCTTAAGAGGCGTTGTCACTCAAGGGTAATGGACTGCATCGATATCTCGGAAGTTTGTTCAATCTTGTTCAGTAGTCTTGCTCTGATAACACTGTTTGAATGCATCTGAAGATCACGTATGGAAATAAGACTCTTGAACTGCTCTCCGGTCATGGTAGATAACTTGAATTGTTCACATTCAAGGCTGGCTCTACCGGCATAAATGATATGGTACCCAGATGCCTTTTTCCCAAGTTTCATACATTGGTAGCGAATATTAAACAAAGAGGAGCACCCACCTTCTTAGTGGGTTTCTGACATTCTGAGGTTACTGTCAGGAATCCGACCATCCTGATACATATGGAACCTGACACCAGCATTAGTGTACCGGGTTTCTGGCATTCTGAGGTTACTGTCAGGAACCCGACCATCCTGATACTTATGGAACCTGACACCAGCATTAGTGTACCAGTTTGCAAAAGCAACAGCATTAATCCTTATGTTATCAGAGATCAAAGTCGTGATAATCTTGGATCTAAACTTAAAACACTCCCAACTGAAGCTGACGTTACATTCAAATATCACGTCTTGGAAATGAAAAATATGAAACTATCCATTTTGACGTGCTGGGTACTGTCGGTGAGACAAGCCCCCCCCCCAGGAAGCTTGGTTTCTTCTACGCAGGGTTGGAGACACTGCAAGACATGGCTGCCACTCGATTTAATTAGCCTTCTTCTTATCAGCTTCTATCCAGTTTATTAGAGGCTAGGGTTGAATTCCTTCCGCATTCGCTTTTAGATAAATTATATTAGTACAGCAGTCCTGAATACTGGTATTATGCCGTCAATGATGATGATGATGATTTCAATGGGTTAAAAGCAGTAGCCACTGCTTTGTGAAGTCATCACCAGGGGTAAAAAGTACAGTGCCTACTTAGAGGTTGCACTTTGTTCTGTGGGATCACAGATCAATAATGTTCACAAGGGAGGAGTATTCTTACACATGTGAGTAGTAACTTGTATAATCCTTCTTATCCTACGGCTTGTATGACGTAGTGCGTAAGCGTCATGCAGGGTGCTGACCTGGCCACTGGGTTAAACCACCAATCCATATGTGTTGTTCAAAAGCTTCTTCGGAATAGGTCTATGCCATTCTCTATCATTTGGAGGCTACATCCAAGAAAAGATACGATTCCGATTATACATCTTTGTTTGTTCTTGGTGAACCATTCCAATCAGCAGCTAAAACAACTGTGTACGTTGATCACTGACTTACCTTCAGCTGGCATTTCCAGGTCATCCCATTCGTTATAGTCTGGCTCTTTACCTGAGAAATTGGACCAAGAAATACTTAACTTGATAAACCATCGAGAAACAAGTAGCTTGACTGAAAACGACCAAGTTTTTAACACGCGCAGAAGGCAAACACAAAAACTTGGCTTCCACTCAAACCTTTTTTGGTATCCAAAGAATCGGGGGACTCGTTCAAACTTGGAGGCTCTAGCTCAGAGCGTTGTGATTTTCCTGTAAGCCATAAAAAGAATGTGATATAGGTTTATTAACCTGTATTAGCCATATTCAGCCGCATAGCTGTTATGCCACGTCTTATTATATGTGGACTGTCCGCAATTCATATTTAGAGGGGTCCCATCGGGTGTAAAAATCACCTTTTGGGATAAATAGTTCAGTAGAATGAAACGGAGTGATACACTTTTTTGGAAGTAGTAGACGTAAGTATACTTGTTCATGTGAGCGTGTACTCACTCTGGCCAAACGACAGAGTCAAACGCATCTACTCACTGAGCATTGTAACATTCTCCACAATACATCCGTAAACCTTGCAAAATTCTTGTGCAGTTTCCGTCACCCATTCCAGAAGCTGTCCCTTTACGTGATACCGTAATCTCGGATTCTGTGGAGATCAAAAGACAGAGTTTCAGTATTTCATTATTTTGGAAAAAGTAACTGCTCTTGAAAACTGGGGTTTCGAATAAAGACGGGGCCAAATTTCGTTTCAACTATACCGGTGCGTAAAAAGGGCGATTAACCTAAACCCATGTTGTGTCTAGAACTCATTTACCCGTTTGACGACTCACATCGGAATGGCAGTTTTCAGATTATCGCATTATCGGTTCTTCAAGATGAGTTGTCTGACTCCTACGATTCCTTTCTACCAAACCTTTTCCTTGGTGGATCAACTACTGTTTATGTTAGGACATCAAATTGTTGACCCGTAAATCAATTGATTATCCTTGCCTAGCTTCCGTACACCAAGTTCTCCTGGCTGGAGCCAACCAACCCACATGCTGATCCGCCTAAAGTCGAAGGGAGACTTTCGATGCACTGTGTGCCCAGAACAAATCAGAATAATGCACACAGACAAAACATATCGCTGGCATCGCACTTTCATCCATTCGAATAGCAATGAGGTTATCACCAACTATACCTTTGAATCGTTGTTTTTGCCTCGGATACTGAGTGTATGTAAGTAGTGTTCCTATCGGCTGGACAGAGATGTACCTACCGGATCTCGTTTGTGTCAAGTCATCAGTACTCTAAAAATGCATCGTGATCAACTTACTGGAAATCTACTGCCGGTTAATAAATCTTGTACTATTTTGAAGACAGTCGAATTCATTTAGTAAAAACTTATAAACGGGTGATTCAGTACATGCCCATCTCGAGCTTATCAAGCGAACCCCCACCCCGTGTATCTTTCCAGTTCATGTTTCGGGTCCAGTGTAAAAAACTCGCTGAAAGTGTATTCATTAAGCGTGAAATTTTTGTCTAAACGTACGGATTTCTACTGATTTTCATCGAGATCATCAAGTAGAATATTAGAAAACTTTCATCCAATAATTCGTCACTCGAGAAGCCTGTCAACACGTGATCACGTGATGTAGATCCCGTGATTGAAGGATGAGTGGCACTTTGTCATGTCTAGGTGCAAGTTAACCGCACTTCCGAGCAGCTGCTTTCGACCGAACGGTCAAGTGTTTGAACTACCGGCCTAGATGTTGCGAGTTCCTTGCTGGGGTTTTATGAGATGTGCACCGCTGATGATTCCCAATAAGGATGAAACAGCTGTACAGTAAGGCTCTCTTTTTCAGTATAGTTCGGTTCAAAGATTGTGTTGCATTTTTTCCTTTCCCAGAAGGAATATGCAAAACAAGGGAGGAAGTAGAACGCTTTGCTAGAACAGGTTCAAAATGGCCGTTCTAGAAAGATGAAGGCTGTATAGTAGATCGTAACTCAGAATTATTTTCTAAACTATAATTTAGACAAATCCGCGGTAAAACCCACGTACCTGAAACATGAAAACTCTTCTCATGACAAAATCTACCAAAGCAGGTCGTTCTTGATGCTTGGGTCCTGTAAAAGGATGCGCTCTAGATAAGTTTTAATTTACCCACAAGTAGCACGAAATTCCGCAACATTTTTCTAGAAAAATGGCTTCCATCTTTCGATTTCAAAATTCACGACCGAAATTTCGGATCTTGAACAGATAACTTCCACTGGCTTTTCTCGAGTATAAATGTGCGAATAAGATACCCCCACCCCAAGAATACACTAACGCTGGGGTTCATTCTGTCTAGTTAACAGGGAGAAAATTATTACGATCTCTTTGAATCTCCCTCGTCCACCCACCGAAAAACTTTCTTCTTAACGAACTGAAAGATAAAGATAATCGCTCAGCTATGGCCCCTTTTTGGTGCGGCCCGAAGGAAACACGAGGGCTGGGGAACTGTCAGGTTGCCCAAGCCTAGACAGGGGAAGTTTTGAGGCTTAAGTCGAGTCCACGCCCTAACTACCGAGCAATCTCGCTCCCCTTGACGAACTAAACCTTTCACAGAATTATCCACAGTAAAGCATGTGATGTCTAATATTCTCAAAGAAATTTTTGGGATACCTTGAAACAGCTTCTTTCATGCAGATTCTGATGTCAAAGGGGCTGTCAACGACTGGTTTTAGACTTTCAGGCTGCTTTTCCCCAGGGTATTTGTTCGCCCGAGTTTCCGAAGTCAATTTACGGTTTTGGGCCTTGTAACGTGGACTCGGTTCAAACTATTCAACTTGAGTGGTCTTTCCCAGCCTAGCACTACAATAATGCCAACCTCAACCTTCTATTTATTCACTCCCACTGGAAAAACCTTGGCGTTTGGATATAATTATGAATAGAATCACTCGCATGGTCCCATATTTGTATCAAGCTTGTATTATCTCAAACAGCACCACTACCCAGCCGAAACAAGTGCTGCCTACCGATCGATTACAATCCCACATATCAGTCAGACATGCATGTTCGTGTTTCTTCCTTACCCATAATTGGGAGCTTGGTCATCGAGACCAGACCCAGTCATCATCACCACCACCAATACCACCACATTTTGAGGGGGTAGCGTGCAGAATTGATGGACCGACCACGAGAAGGAATCAGTCAACTTGGCTCGTGACCGACTTCACCAACTCGCCAACTGGCTCATATTTTTATGCTATGGTAGGCGGCAAGAATGTCGGATGTCCCAATCTGCACAAAAGGTTGCTACAAGTTTAGTGTCATACGTGTGTAAGTGAATACGGAATAGTCGTACAAATACACCTTTGTTGGATGGGTGGGAGTCGCCACCGTTGTAATTCAGAGGTGATTGCATCAAAATTTGAACTATAAGTCCTCCGCTCTGTGATCTCCTGACCTGTGTGCAGTAGATAAGGAGGCCTGATACTTTCGCGACTTTACTTATCACATAACCACCCGTTCTCGTGACCACGAGGAAAGCTCTGATGTGTGAGTAGAAATCAAGAAACGAGAATTGGATAGTATAACTGACGCGGCGTGTGGATCGATAGCGACCTACATCTAAGAGTTTTGATTACAATGAAGATAGACTTCAGTTGAAAGCAACTAAGTGCATTGATCTTTTGCTCGAGCATTCTGAGTTCGTACATTTTTTCCTCAGGTTATACATGACCTCATTGATTCGATTCTAAAATGTTCACTATTCAGAATGACCTCACAACGGAGGACAGCCGAAATCCGGGTGTCTACAGTTAAGGTCGATGTCGAACGACTGGATTTGGAGGTGGTTTAAGGGGTCAGACAGTGGAACAGAAACTTCATACCGTTAGGCTCAGACCTTGCTGTAGATCATGCTACATGTGTTGCAGTGATCCGACATATTCTTGGAGCCGACCTACTTTTAAGTAACCAGGTAGTAGCACTGTCGTGATGGCTTGGAAATAATGGGATTAGTACCAACAGCTCTTGTGCAGAAACTGAATATTCCCGACAACTTACGTAAAAAAGACGGTAGCCTTCATTGTTCAAATAAGGATACTTTGTATTTGACCAGAAGGCTTCACGACAGGTGAGTGACGTATGTTCTGGATCATAGAGCGAGCAAGCTACAAAATGGTATGAAAGAGAAAATTAGACCTTTAGGGCTTATTCGAATCATATTGATGGAAAGCAGTTTTTCGTGAGTATTTCAGCAAGATACTTCTGAGTGACATGGGCTTTTGAATAAGTTTTCACCAATGAAAAAGTGATTTCCAGGGGTGTTACATCCACCTGACCAGTTCTTCGAACTTCTCCAACAGTCCCAAGTTTATTCGCTGGAATAGTCTGCTCACATTGTTTGGAAATCCAACGGTTTCACTTTGTTCTCCGTGTCGTTATAAGTTGAGTTTTGAATTTCTAAAACTAATGTATGAAGCATACTTCAAGTGAAAAAGGCATTCAAATTAGTACTCACAAACCGTCATCCTTTCCTTTCGTTATTCAGCTTCTCATGATTTTTCTAACCACCCAGTTACAAATATTGATGACAAAATCAAAGAGGAACTTTGGGATCAACTTATACGCTGACTATCTGAAGGTCTGTAACCGAGTGAATTCTAGCCCAGTTTTCCCAAACTCACGTTTGACCATTCCTCTTACATTGACGGTCTTTTCACTTCCGTCCAAAATTGTTTGATTATGTAATTATACGCTTCAGGATCAGGTGGACAAACTGAAGTAAACAATTCGATTGTCATTTTGGAAGCTGGTATGGTCAGGTGGCTATCTCTCATCACATTCACAGCGCAACTGCTTTACCTGTGACGGGGCATAGTAAGCGTCTAATCCAGTGCCAACTCTAACCACGCAAACCGCACTCTTTGATGGTAGCTAAGCATGTATATTCAGTGGTTCCACCCTAGCCAACAACGTTACATGTTTTTCACCGACAAGAACGTAAATCCGTTGCTGTCGTGAGAATGGATGAGCCAGGTATGGATCGATTGTTTGGATGGTCTCTTTTGAACCCGCAATACACACGCCATCATTTGGTCCAGATAGCACCTGAATGTCTCGTTCTGTCTAGAATAGCCGTCTGATACATGTTTCTAACCCGTTAACAACACATGAGTACTATTCAGCCGCGTTGGGCTATCACACTATGACCAGTGTGATTGTACTGTCTTGTCTTGGCTTTTTATCCCTATGGCTTCCCTACTCTCGTCTAAGTGTCCGGTGTGTACCAAGATAGCAAAGGAAACACCTGAACTTCGTCCCACTGGCTTGTTTTACGTGACGAGTACCAAATCGGTGAACCATCCGTGACACTATTGATCGGCTCTCCTGATTTTGATTCCTTCATTTTAAGTTGGAATAGCCTTGTTGGACGGTTTTGTGGACTGTGTGCGGCTTTGACACAGTCCTTCATTTGGTGAAAAATGCGGTTTCTGTGAGGTGCCCGTAAAGTAAGCTTTGGTGATCCATGCCATTCTACCCCGCATCCCTCCAGTGAACACTAAGCATCGACAAACCGCCAACTGATCAGTGCGTCAGCGTTAAGTTCCAGAATCAGGACATGGACCTATTGCTACGATTGGGTTGCTGAGCCTGTGATTGTACTGGTACTTCATTCGAATCGGATCCGCCGAGCCAACTACTCCGCCATCCAGACCCTATACCACCAAAGACGGAAAGATGCAACGCCTGTTGTGTTCGATGGGTTATGGAAGGTTCTATACAAAGGTAACTGCGGCCTACCTTTGGATGCCGAGCAGCATTGGAAACAGGTGCTGTCTGCTCCAAAACACGTGGGTAGCTGGCCAAGGCGTGCAACGCTACCATCCGATTGGAGTTTGATCGCACTAATTACGGGCGAGGAAGTACGATCCGTTTATTTAACGATTCGTCCCCAGGTCTGGAAAAGCTCATGCCCAGGATACCTCGCCGGTTCAATGCCAACGCGCTCGCTGGTTATTTCAACTTACTCTTATTATCCGCGGTTTGTCCGCCGTCCTCGTATTACCCTAGTTCCGAAGGTCAAAAATTCGACTTCACTGGACCAACTGAGACCGATCTCCGTGTCATCCATTCTTGTCCATTGTTTTCATAAGATGATCGCTGATCACTAGAGCCTCACTACTGTTTCAATTCCTACATCGAGACGGTCGTTTGAAAGCTAAATCGTTGCTGCATGCCCCACTTTGTCGCTCTTCAGCGACTGCTTTTAACACCAGCTTGGCGTTTGCTGATATCTCGAAAGCCGAGACGGTCGTTTGGAAGCTAAACCGTCGCTGCATGCCCCACTTTGTTGCTGTTCAGCGACTGCTTTTAACCCCAGCTTGATATCTCGAAAGCGCTTGATTCGGTTTGGCATGACACAGTCGTCAGATCTGCTGAGGCGTTCGGTACACTGTCAACTCTAGTCCAATGAAAATACTGCAGCAGCTTTCCCCGGTTCCGAAGTTCACTGCCAAAGAGGTTTGAGGCATGGAATTCCACTATTCTCATTGTTGTTCATCATGGCAATGGATGAGGTTCTTGGACTGTCGATGTCGGAGCCAGAATGCCAGTTTCATGACACCTTAGTAGGTAGTTTTGCCTTCGACGACTGTGAAGTGTGTGTAGGGAGTCAGGTTCACCTTAAACCGAAGCTTGAAACTACTGCGGTTGAGTTGAGAAGAGCCAGTGTTAAGATAAACGCCCGAAAAACGAAAGCGATGGTGATTGTGGGACGGAAAACATCGGGCTATAGCGGCTTACGTCGAAACATTTTGCTTCGACGAGGAACTATTCACTCCTCCGGGTCCGACAGATATAGTGACATATTTAAGCATTCCCTTTAGTTTCAAGGGGAAAAAAGTTTGCAACCACCGAGAGCAACTGCTCAAACTGATCGATGAGTGGACGTGCGCCCCATTAAAGCCGCGTCAAAGAATGGAGATCACAGGGAACTACCTGACACAAAGGCTGACATATTCACTCGTGCTCGGCCAAGTCCACCGAAACATGCTCAAAAGGCTCGATATTTACATCAGGCAATCTATTTGTGGCTGGTCACATCTACCGAAGGATACCCCGACTTGGGGGACTTGGTATCCCAAGCATCAATGCAACCATCTCGATGCAGAGAAGAGCGCCTATGGAAAAGCTTCTGTCTACCCAGTGTTAAACACTACGCAATGTGGTCAATGAGTCCGCATTTGACAAGATCGTTCGGAATCTCAGAATTCCGATTCGAGTCTAAGGTGCATGCGTAAACACCAAGGAGGAGCTGGTGGCTGCTTGGTGTGATAGTTTGCAGAACAGCGTTGACGGTCTCGATTTACGAGAGTTGGTCGCTTTACCTCTGTCCAATCGATGGCTCGCTTTTCCCGAGTGAGTGTTTCCTCAGATATTTATCCGTGTTTCCATTCAACCTACTTAGGACGATATTTAGAAGCGCTCGAAGTAATCGTGGTAGCCAGACGGTCTTCTGTCATGGAAACTGTTGTAAACCGGAGAGCTTGATGCATATTCCTCAGTCCTGCTGGATCACGCATGGTGTGTGTCGTCATAATCGGGTTGCAAGGGGACTCGCAAAACGTCCCCACTACCTGAGATACACTGTCTTTGAGGAGTTGAGAGCATCTACATCAAAGTCTTTCATCAAGCGTGGCCTAATTGCTATTCGGGAGTTCCCAGCATCTATGACAGACGTAAGCACAGTCTCCAAGAGCGCTGAGTGATTGTATGGAGCGAGGAGCAGAAATACTGTGCTGATGAACGTCCCCTCGCCATAATCCGAGCCTTACGTACAGACGGGTGAGATGTTGACTTTTTGATCCACAAACTGATGGTCATTTCTTGTCGATGGATCTGAATTCCTCAATCCACCAAGACTGTTATTTGGACTGAGACTTCCTCAATTCACAGTCAGTGAATCGTGTTTGATTGCCATTTTGGGCTCTCTACGTACTTACGGCACTTTTATGCGTGGTACATGGTGTTGAGTGTTCATTCTTGCCCCCTGACTTTCACACCTGACCCGGTGTAACGGACACTTTACGCCTGGTGTGCAAGTCTTGTCTGCACCAGCGCTTACTGCGCCGTGAAGAGCACTTAACATTGTTTGTCCTTTCTTACGTCGCTGGTATTTACACGCGTCGTCCTATACCAAATGTTTTTACATACTCTGGGATTCATCTTGTCCGACCGGAACTGTTGGTGGCACGACTTCGAATGGAACACTTCCTCCGTTTTATCTAATCCTCTCCTGCAAAGCTCACACATCAATCGCTTGCATTTCCTTTTATGTTTGTAACCAGGCTCTATAGAAATAAACGATTATATGGGCACCGCTTTAAATTCGATGCAGCAGTGAACATGGATGGTTCGCGAAAACAGCACGAATCACCAATCCTACCATGTCCGCGAACTGTGCCGTCCAGCTTATTTTGAAACAGTCACGCCAGCCGGTGCAGCACAGAACCTAATCATCAAAGTGGTCTGAAACAACCGGTGTCCATCGAGCAGCCAGCAGTAGGTGAGACTGTTTTTCATTCGTGAATCCTGTATCAATTTCGTCTCGGTATGCTTGTCGCCCAGTTGATCGTGAAACGCCACAGACCAGCTGGTCAGCTGATGCCATATCGAAACGCAGTATTTATTGGCTGAAGCTCAATATTCAATGACCTGAGTAGAACATGAAATAGTGTAATCAATTGTCTCACAGTTAGCAGTTTGAACATCATTTGGAGCAAACAACAGGTTCAATTAAAGCTTGTCTGAGATATTCTTCATCCAAACAGACCACAGGTCATCTGGCAGCTATTCAAAAAATCGGAGCATTTACTTTCAGAATGGCATCACACTTGAAGTTTGCGATAATCGAAATGGTGGAGCAGAGACAAAATGGGAAGAGATTGTTTAAGTAAAACTTACGGCTTATGTTCACATACCAGTGAAAATAAGAATAAAGCGCTTGCCTGACTAGTAAAAAATCATTCAGCTCAAACAATCCTAACAGGATTTTTTGAAGATTCTCTGCATACAATAAACCCAAAGAAGCAACAAAATAGGTTACCACCAAAGAAATCGCTTGTAAAATTATTTTCAAGCGATAGACCTCCAACCTGTGCTCCATAGGGATCCCCTTGAGACTTCTACGATTTAAACCGATACTCATGGTGAGAGAGGCGTAGCATTCAGTTGAACAGCCTACAGTCTAATCAGATTGTATATGATTTCCAAACTAGGCACTGATAAAACGTATTCATAAGTCTGCAACTTTGCTGCTCATACTAGTTCACGGTTAGGTACTCCTCTCCAGAGAAAGTACTATTTTAATACTTCCACTGGAACAAAGTCCGCTTTGGAGCGAACTCCCAAGGACTATCAGGAAGGTCAGATTCCTGAAGGCAACCTCAGAATGCCCGGAACCCACTGCTCTACCAAAAACTCAACAGAAAAGCAGGCAAGCATCCAGGCCAATCAATCATTCAATCAATTCAGCAAAACATGATGAGTGTTCTTGAGCGCCACAGAAACACGACCGAATGTGATCAGCGTTCAGGCATTTCATAGAGGCACGATCGATGTTGGTGGGTGTTCATTAACGCCTATCAAGCAGCCTTGATCAATGTCAGAATGTCCCCTTTAAATAGCGCGGGGCCGATGTAACTTTTGCTCCCGCACTCGCACGCACTCACGCTCTCGCACTCGTTTGTTCGGAATATAGCGGTTCCTTTCTGTGGCATTAGGCGCTGTAGCGGGTCAGCAGCAGATACCACAGATTGACGAATCAGCAGATATAACAACTAATATTATTATTAAAGCAATAATGAACCGAATTATCTGCTAAGCTGTGTAGGTCGTTGCAATGACACTGACCATTTCATTTCTGCTCGTGACAAAGAGTCAAGACTGATCCTGACATTGAACCGCTTTGTGGTTGTTTTTTATTTGGGGTATCACTGCAATCAACTAGAGCGAGTGAAGACTTTCCAAGAAGTTTAGACCGGCAAAACTTTCTGCAGTGACGTCACTGTATCTTGGGTGTCAACATTTGCTGTCCCTTGTCTGATGTTGAGTGCTGTAATGTACCACCTAGCCGTTACCCACCTATTTGAAATAAAGTTGCCTGCGCTTCCAAACACGACTAACACCTTCAAAGAACTTTGAGTCATTCGGAAAATTCGTTTAAAGTCGGATGTTTGCTGCCCACTCATGTCGGCTTGGAAGAAGCATCGGCTAATGCCGGACAAAACGGACGAAGTGACCAAAATGCAGAAATCAGAGCCGGAAGCCAGAAGTTTTATTCATCCGTATGACCATAAGTCACGTGACGTAGGCGAGAGGCCGGCGGCGCTTGTCTACCTGTTTGCATGGCGTGTTTTTGTATTGTTACTTATGAGTATCTAAATGCCTGTCTTTTCCATGTCACAGAATGGACTTTGACTTACCTAGATTGTAATTGAGCTAAAAGTCTGTGTGTGTGTATAAGGAAACTCATAGCTGACAAAGCAGAGATATCATTTTTTCAATATGGTATTGGCTAGTCCGTCACGAAGAGACTGGACCTTACGCATTTTGACATGGAATTAGAGAACAAAGTACGTTTTACTCCCAAGGAATTTTTGTGTGAGATCCGTATGGGATAGGTTATATGAGACTTTTGCCCTAGGGGTAAGTAGCCTGAGCTTGCAGTCTTCCCGATAAACTCTGGGTCTATTGCCCTCCCCCCCCCAAACGACTGGATGGTACGGACCAAATGTACATAAGCTGATCGTCCTCCTCAAGCTTCAAGCACTAAAACGGCTTACAATGCTTGAAAACTCTTGACAGACTAACTTCAAGCGGGGATGATTTCTTCATACAGATGGAACACGGTAACAAACTGGTAACAGCTGTCTAGCCCGTCAGTGGAATCTCTCAATACACGGACCCTTTCCTTCACGCCCAAACAATGTTTTCAGATCACTTCCCTACAGCTTTATCCGGCTGGGCATCTAAATGCTGGTATCTTCGTTAGGGATTAGCCTACCCCGGAACTTATTGATCAGGTCAATTTCATTTGTCTGCTCTCTATCCGCCACCATACACATGCCGAAATGCACGCTAGACAGTGTCACGGCTGAGTGCAATAAACGTTTCATATACTGTTTGCGACAGACATTCTTAAAAAAAACAACCATAGACTTAGTATATCTTACCCGGAACATCACTTTCCGGAATATGAGTAACAAGTTCAACCTCGACTTCAATGGCTTTGTGACGTGGAGGAATCGACCGCTGCTCCCGAAGGTTCGGCAGATGCTGCTCATCCACAACCACATGGTGTGTCTGAGAAAAACTAACTGTGCGCTGACTTTTCCCGGTCATTTGTTCGTCCTCAATGCTTATCATACAGGTGAAAGTATCATGCTTCCGAGTAAACCCGAATTCGTGTGCACGAAAAGGGAAGAAAAAATGGGTACGTTAGCACAAATATTTTTATGCTGGTAAAAAAACAATCTCTTGAAAATCGGACACAATCTACGATTTTCACTTAAGGAGGAATCCAAAAAACTTGCATAAGCTAATATTAAACGGTCCAAATCTACCGTTTAGTTGGTCTGCACAAACGAGAATGAATGTCGTCAAATCGTTTGGAAGTACAGTGTGCTTCTTCTGTCTCGCTCTTACGACCACTCTGCAACGACCATCTATCAAACACTAGTGCATGATCAAGCACCGCAACCTCAATAGATGGGTTGACCACCACTGAAAGGAAGAAAGCACTCGCTGTGGAGTTGTTCATTAGGAAATGCCAACTGACCAGTTACAGACCATTGAACAGGAAAGCAAAACTCTAATTTGCATCTTATTTACAAAAACTGGACACCCATCTTCTCCCGAACGCGTCTTCTTGAACTTTCCTGGAGATTCATTGACTCCACTCATTCGTCGGTCAAATCTAAACAAATGTTACAAAGTGGCTCCACGAATTCCGCAACAGATCTCCCCCTTTCAAAAGACGCAAAGCGAACTTCTACGAACAACACATACTACTCGCTTGCCTCCCCAGCAGTAGTATCACCGATACACCACCATATTTCAGTACGACCCACCTATCTATTTTCTAGGTTGAATGGATATAGATGACTATATCACAAAACAAAACAGGAACAACAGTCCTGCTTCTAGTCCATTTCCATAGCCCAGGTGCCTACCAAATGAGAATGAATTACCTTCACACGACTCAACCCATGAAACAGACTAAGAAGCCCCTATTTTGCTGCTTGGGATCAAGTCACTCCCCCGAAAACTTGTGTTTTCCGGGAAAAAGAGGTATGCTTGTCTGGCCTCCCGTGTTATCCACTGCGCAAAACAGCAAACACCTCAAAGTCGCCTAAATTTCCGGACTCATTTTTAGATCAATTGCTTCCTAACTCTACCGAGGTTAGGGCTGAATGTTATCTGCTTCTCTATCCAGCAACACACACTCCAGAAGGTTGTACAGCTCGTAAAGTAGTAGCAGGGCAGCAAATTACCAACAAGAATGGAGAAGGCGCTGTGAAACGTTTTGCAGCTCTTCTGATAAGAAGCTGATATTTCCCCCGCAGTATCACGAAACGCAGAAACTACCTCCATCGTTTGCAAGCCTTCAAGTGTTTATGTGTCACAGAGTACAAGATGTAAACATCCAGGCTAAAAAGAACCGACAAGCAGGGTAGTACTGAATGAAAAGCGAAACTTTCATTTTGCGTCCAAAGTTCGAAGTGCATAAAATTACTTTCTCACGATATCAACAGTGTCTTCAGTTGTTGGTCAGAATCCATGAAACGCAGGTTATTAAATAATATTTCATGAATACTGGCTGTTTTCATGCTATCAATAAAGCCTTATCGGCATACACGGCATTGCTTAGATGTGATAAAGATTTACAGAATAACAGAACATTAAAACTGCTCCCAATCATATTTGAAAAGTCACAGCGCCGAATTCCGAAAGTGTTCTCATTTTGAGTTTGACTTGAGACCGACTTCTTATCTGATATGTTGTAAGTAGGGACTTGGAAATTCAAATATTGTCCCACAGAGCTTAATCAGTTCGTGGCAAATAGCTAAGAAACACTGACTGCTTCAGTTTAACGTACCTCCCTGAATCCTACAAGGGATTCGACCGGCAATCTCCTCAATAGAAGCTGGGATCTCCGTCGTTGAGCGCTAGTTGTTAATCAGCTGTCCATTTCCAACAGTGCAGATTTACATGACTAGGATTTTGAAAGACTTCTCTGGTAAGGCAACACACGAGTCACTGAATATTTCCACCCCTGTCCTGCTACTCGTATTATGTGAGTAGTGGGAAACCTTTGGATAGGATTCCTGAGGAACGGTGCGAAGTCATACACAGACGCGTGAACCCACTGTATCGCTTATCAGCTACACATAGGCCTAAGATAAAAGTCTCCTCTTGTGCGAATGGTTAAGAACTCAACGCACAATCTAGGGTTTGGGAAATGTACATCCGTGGCGAATTCCAACAGGGACGAAACGGATGTAATGTTCAGCTCAGGCTGGCAACATTGCAACAGCAATTTGTTTCTTCTAAAGTTAATGCTACATAAAGTCGTGATGTGCTCTGTTCCAGATACAATTTGCAATGAAGAAATTAGTAAGAGCTTCCCATTAAATCGGTCCACAGCTATCGAAATCTGGGTTGGCTGGATGGAGACTGTTGTCCCTCTCTGTCGTTGGCGAAATTCATTTTTCACAGAAGACCGTTGGAAAACAAGCCTAGAAAAATCATAATTTTGCTGAATGCATATGGAAAAAGAAGCGTCAGTATATGTTTCAGGTGGGGGAAACAAAATACCTCGTTTTGGGACTAGGAAGCAGAATTGTGAAATGCCGACCTTCGCCTGACTCTCCCAACTTACAAACTGATCCCCTCCGCTGGTACGTTTCAGTTAGACTCAAAAATATGTCATCAGTGTATGGAAAGACATACCCTAGCTACCTTCAAGGACACGGTACAGATCGGCTGGCTCAGTTAAGAGCGGAGACAGCAGAAGCTATAAAAATTATTTTAAAAACGGTAGAAAATGACGAAGCTTCAAAGGACCGCAGTACAGTCGGAAAATAAGCAACCAAGTGGAGTTTCTGTTTTGGTTGCTCAAAAAAAAACTGGTTGTTTATTTCCTGAAGTCATGTGAGGCTAGCAACTGCGTCCCGGTTGGAGGAAAAGTCCTTGTACGGTGGGTCAGAAAAAGTCAATTCTAGGACGGCCCAGTTTCATTACCTGGCTTACCAACGTCGTTACGGTCAATGAATTTAAATCACTTGATGTCATGCTTGCTCCCGTGAGAAAGTGTTTTGACAGACATTAGTTGCGACGGGACACTTTTAAAAGCAGTCGTCTTTGGAAATATTCGTTGGGAATTGAATGTGACGTATCGGAATCAGCAAACTGATTGTTTTAAAAACAACCTTATAACTGGATGATCACCCAAAGAAGACGAAAGCTGACTCACAGCATAAATTCTGAAAAGCTGCCTTCACTATCCATCTAATCTGGCGGGTATTCAAACTACTACAGAAACTCAACTTAACATTAACTTTACATCTGGGGTTGCTTGGATGAGTCAATGGTTGACAGAGCCGAAAAACGGTACACCAGCACTAAGTTGTGCTGCCGTCCCTACCTCTACAACCGGTCAGAATACATGACTACAGAGTGTAATTCAACCCTCCTGCTCTCAGGTCACTTCCGACTGATAGATAGATGATAGTTGAAAACTACGCCCTCTTAGGCAGATCAAAGAATCCATTAAACGAAAAAAATACATTTGTAACAATGTAGCGTACACCCTAGATCACTTTTCTTTGAGGGCGAACCAGCGCAAAACCCACTGCTAATCGAAGACAAAGAGCGTGCAACTAGGGATGGAAATTCCGTTTCATTTCAGTCACTAGTCCATTTTGGACTGACTACTCTACGAATGAGTCCAAAAATGGCGAATTTTTGACCAGACACAAACAAGGGGATAGATTTCTTTCAACTGTGTGCCACAGTTTACTCAAGATGCACTAAGTCGTCTCTGAATAAATCCTGCAAATGGGGACCTCCCCTCAACAGTTACTGGTTTCACTAGGTCCACAAACAGCCTCTGTTTAACGTGAAAAATGTAGCCAAGCTCTTATAACCGCACCGTTGTATCATGTTAACAATGCAATGTCGTTGAAATACAAAAGTGGTTAGCAAAAAACGTCCAAATTCTCACCTCATAGCGACTTCCATCCAGAGAGAACAAGCTCAGTGTTCCCGAAACCTGGTCTGTTTCATAGCCATGTCGTTTGGCCAGGCTAGGAGAAAGATTCACATTGAATTCATAATCTTGATAGAAGCTCTTGCTAGCAGAAGGACCAGTACTGTGGTCTAGAGTATAACCTAATTTTTGTTTTGGTCGACTGACCAACCATATTCACATTTCAAACTTCGGCTCTTCAACAGTTACTAGAATTTCTGCGTTGGTAACTTAGACGGTTATCACTTGGATACACAGTATAATGAAAAATGATAGTCATTTTGGTTTTTTTTGGTGTCTGCTCGGGTAAGCCGGGAATTGAGTCAAGTCCCACGATCCAAGTTGCTTTATGGCTAAATTGGGAAGCATTGTGGTTGAACCATTTTCGAGAAGTTCCCCCCCCCCCCGCCTTGGATTTGGCGGTGTCAGGAGACCCTGGACTCTTAATGGAGATTTCTGTGCTGAAAAGTCCAACTCTCCTCAGACTACCATCGGTCCATAAGTAGCTGAGGCGAAGAGTGAAATTCACTCGATGAGTGAAAATAGTGTCTGGAAATTTGTCAACTCGAGAAGCCAGTGGGCATGTGTGACTACGTGATACGGATTTCGTGACCTGTCCGGGTGCGAGCCAGTCACACTGCTGATCAGCCGCTCGTGGCCACACGGTTAGTTGGTCAAACTACTGGCCGGGTGATCGTACGTTGGACAATCTGTGCTGGAGTTTCGTGAGATGCGAACAACTGATGATTCCCGTTGAGGATGAAACAGCTCTAAAGCCTTTGACTTTGTTACGCGCTTCTGAGGAGAAACAAAAACCGGTCGCAACAAAGTTGCTGGCAACACTCAACAACCTTATCGACTTCTACACCATTTCTGGTATTCAAAGAAGGAAACCTGGGCTTTCAAAACAAATTTATTGCGTGACTGCTGACTGAATGAGTTATCCTATCAGACCAGAAATATGACCTATTGCTTCATTGTGTCCGAGGCAGTTTAAGATCCATGTCAAGTTGCATTTTAGCACACGTCTGAGGCTTTGCTTGATTTATTTCAATAATATCGGCAAACCTTGAAACACGTGAATTTCGGTACCGAAGGCGTATAGTGAACACCAAGATGAAACTGAGTGGATGGCTTGAGACGAGCAGATATCTGGCTATAGAAGGCTTATGTTCCCCGTCTGCAAATCGATCCCACATACTGAAAATAATAATTTCGAACCCACAGTAGAACGTACTCTGTCACTTGTGTGGGCCGAGACTTATCGGTTCTCCCATTGTCAGTCGCTCCTCATTCACATATAAATTGGTATGCCTAAATCATTCCCAAGTGCTACAAAAGTAGACCCTAAGGCCTGGGTCTCTTGGTGACTTGTGTACGTAACCAACTTGCTCCCTTGGGATGAGATTCCAGGTGCCAGGCGTTCAGATTTCTCAGTTGAATATTTCCAAAAATGATAATGCTCAGGAGCAGGACAAATCTATAGAACGAAACTATCCAATAATCTGTGCGATTTTGCTCAAGATTCTCTCACCAGAGTATACTTCCATTTCGATTAAACAGTAAAACATCATCCTGTTTACTAAACTCATTCAGTCATTCACTTACGTTAACTGAGATGCCTCGCCATGTCCCACATACCACGTTCGCTTGAAGCGTCTTTCCGTAGTCTGGTGAAACTCGATTGGATCGCGTTCCAGTGGCATCCAACAGGGCAAAGTTAGTGGTCTGTTCGCATCGTACACAATCAGTTTGGAAAACTGGACGGCCGGAGGTAAGTCTTCCACATTCCATTCAGATAAATCAACTTGTCCATGCATACTGTATGATGTGAACTGCTCAAGTCCGTAGGGTAGAGCTTCGAAAATGGCCCAGTCCTCAGATTCTGACTGACTTAATATGGGGACTAGGGAGCTAGATTTTCTAGTCGAATGGGAACTTCTTCCGGGAGGGGTTTTAACGAAGCGTCTTGGTGTGGCTGATCTGGAGAAGCCGAAGTCATCATCCTCAACTGGGTCGATACCTTGAATATCCGACATTGCATTTGATAGGTCATTCCTGTTCACATTTTCTGAAGTAGAATGTCTTTCTGAACTTCCTACGGAAACAGATTCATGAGGATTTCCTGCCTCCTGACGGCTTGGTGCAGTACTATAGGTCAATTTTGAATTTGTCCCCCGGTTTGAATAGTCCTGCATAAAACCACTGAGACCCTGAATGTCTTGCAGAAATCTTTTCATTTCCGTTGCATTCAAGCCGGAGTAATATCTCAGTGGAAATCCTCCATGACTGCTATTCCTTTGGTAAGGCTTTAGAGGAACTATCGAGCTCCATAGTTTAATATCTTCAACCCAATAGGCCATCATGGTTTCGTCTGAACTAGAATCGATATATGTCGTTCTGTTCGCACTGGTACTAAAAGTGTTGTTCTTGCCTCCATCTTCAGCATCGTTCTGCTTCAGCTGAATTCTTGAGTACAGACAAATATACACCAGAATCCGAGGCCACGAAAAATGACTGAGATGCATGACTGTAATGGAAGAATAGATCTGTGTTGGACAAATACTGAGATGAGTGAAATGGGTCGTTTGAACTAAATGATATAGACTGAGCCCTGAACCTTGAAGTACAAAGTCCGAGTACGTGTAGCATGAACGAAAAAGACGCAGGATAGTTGGACTCCGCATTGCAAGATTGACTTAAGACCACTCTGTGTTTGGAATTCGTACATGAGAGATGGCTTTTGGAGAAATTTCGCTCAGATCAGGAAGGTCGTTTTGATTCTTATCACTGCAAATAATTCTTGTGGTAGTTCACTGTGTCGGAGAGGGTTGGTGTTTTTCTTTAGTCCCCATAGGGATTAGACAGTTCCCCATTAGGTTGTTGATTCCAACAATCTAGACACCGATTCCGAAGCGTCTTTCTTTCGATTTAACGAAGTACCTAGCTGGGGAATTCTCTTTAAGAGCAACAAAGAAGGAAAGCTATCTGCTTTTCATTCTAACTTATACAAATGCTTCCATACCAGGTCCAAGTAATGAGCCCCAACACTTGGAGACCAAACACGTGTCGAAATCAACGCATTTTCAGAAGAAATCGTCTGTTTACTCTGTTTACTTATGTGAGAGCACTCAGTAAATGAGGGATGACAACCTGAAAGGTAAATTTCAGTGTTGGTTGTCAGCTGAGTAATCGCACCGTAAGAACTTTGTTGAATAGCTTTGCAGAAAAATCTCCGGCTAACCTGCGGAGGAATATCAGTGCGCAAGTGACTACGAGGGACTCCCAAGTCCAGAAAGTTGTTACAGTTGTTTTATGACATCGTCAAACAAGGCTGTCTTCCATCACCCTTTGTTGTTGTTTGCATAGTCAACTTGCGAAAGGAACTGTCTTGTAGATCTCATCTAGAATCCAGGATTAAGATAGAAATCGTTTTCGCCACCACAGCTCTCTCGGTGAGAGCAACCTACATCTTCACCTTAAAGTGTCATTCATGAATAGACGAATCTCATTTTAACTCGAAACCTTCTATTTGAAAAGCAATCAGCCTTCAGGAGGAACAAAATTGCAATTCATTTGAAACTAGAAGCATTGAGTGAGGCGTTTTAATCTTGCACATAATGGGTTCATGTGCTCAAACAGTCAAAAGATGTGTGGGAGAAATCGGGTGAACGATCTACCGAAAGGGTTTCGAAACCATCCTATATTTCATATTTGGGAGGATGAGTTGAAAATCCATTGCACAATAGGTCTTGTCATCCCAATGATTTTGATATCCCTAAATTGTTTGCCCGACGACAGGTACGTCGTCATCCCTCCGTACTGTGTACTTTTACTGTCGTGCTTGATACCCGCTGAATCGATTTTTCTTGGAGTTAATGTCGTTGGTGGTACGCGTTATATAACACTAATAACCCACCCCAGAAACTGTACATTCGACGGTCATCGTTGGTATGCACGTTAAAGCGAGTAACAGGTCCTCTTCTCAGGGCACACTTAACATAAAATGGCTGGAAATATTCGACAGCTTACTACGGGTTCCACCCTCTTGAATCTCATCAGGTACAATTTAGTGTTCTGGTAGATCTTACGGCTGGTAGAAACTCAGGGACAACACCTACATGATGAGATCCAAGAAGGAGAAGACGGAATGTAAACGGTCGAAGAGCTTTTAGCAGCCCTATAAGTAGTGTGTTATGTCAACAAAAATCTAGAATATCTTGTCAATTGTGTCACGAGGTGGCCTTTGTGAAATAAATCGGGTTGACTCGTAACATCAATGAGAAATTTAGTCAAGCCTCCATTTAACACTTACTTAATTTGCAACTAAGTTTACTTCGTCAGTTGTGTGACAAGACCTTACGGGGATTTAAGCATGTCTGGTTGTTAGTTTATCTGATTAGTATTATCTGAAAATATTCTGGGACATTTACGTTTAGGGTATGGGCCTCGAGACACACCAAACCACGTCCACAATCTATCGTTCAAGCCCACAATATTGTTCGCTTTCTCCACATGTCGCCCAACTTCACTGTACCGTTTAAGGTCATGTAGCAGCTAGACATCAGACCACTGTATTCTGAAGCGAAACACAGTTATTCGCATTATCAGGTGTAAATACGGTGCTACATTATGCGATGTGCAAGTTTTCACACTACTACCGAAATGAGTAATCAGGACTACGTACAGTGGCTAAGTATTTGCCATAAGTAGCGAACGGGTGGATAGGCATGCTTCAGTGTTCAGTCAAGAAAAACAAGGTGACAGAATAAGGCACGAGAGAAGCAACGTCCAAGTTTGCGGATGTCTGATTAGGGTACCCTTGGCTAGACTCGGTCCAGCAGCTAAGATCGTAGAACCGCTTAGAGGATCGGTGAAATGGCTGTTTCACTTGGCAATCCAGATGCTTCGTGCGATATGATCTCAAAAAAGGAAGTATAGCTGGACAGCACAGTGACATGATGCGCAGTCACCAGGGTTGGAACGCGCAGTCCAGCAATCACGGAGTGTACATAATTTCCGACGAAGTCACATAATTTAGAAGTAAGTCTGTCATATGTGATAAGGTCACAAAAGGCCTTCAAAATAGAAATGCCAATTGTGCGCTATGGTTTCCGTCGGGAACTGCAGCCAACTTTTATGTGGGAATCAGTGGTGAGCGACTCTCGTGCGTTTTTTTAACAAATGGTGTGTCTTGTCTCTCCTTTCACTCGATCCAACAACTGATCAAATTCATTACACTCACTCATCTGACAGTGTCTAATTAGGAGAAAATGCATTTGTTATTGCATGCGCAGAGTCCGGGCCTTCTCCGACTCCGGATTGGATACTTACTTCCTCGCACACAACGATAGCGAAACACCTACCTTTTAGCAGTCGCAACTTTCCCAGACTAGCTTCCTACATTCCGCCTCAACCTGCAGATCTACCACCAATTCAAACATGATCCGAAGATATTGATTATGATTATTGATCCGTCTGTCGGACGATCTGTTAGTAGGAAGAGAGTGTTTCGAATATTGACCAAATACTCAGTTAAAGCCCCAAAATCGGTGTTGCTTGCGCTGAAATTATCCTTTTACTTTACTAAATCTTCCGTATGGCACAATCATCTGTTAGAATGATCCGCATTCCAGAGAATGGACAGTCCATATCAGCACTCTTGCAGGAGGAATATTTTGATTCTATCACACTGCTGACTACCATATATCATGTGTGACAAGCACCTTAGTCTATAAAGCCTTCTCGCAGTCTGTAAATTGCCGACTGTTGACGAGCCGAAAAACAGCCATCTAAACAACTTCGAGTTACCGCTTAGTTGGTAACCAAACAAAAATAAAGCAAGGCCATGAGAATTTCATCTGTCAGCCGCAATAAGGGCGTACCAGGAATGACTACGACGATCAGATGAACGTATTCTCCATATTCCGCGGAAAAAGTACCTTATGTAAGATAGTTAAGGTCTTCTTCAGGTCAGAGCCATCACCATCTTTTACCTGGTGGTTCTGGGGTTAGGCGCTTTTTCTCTGAAACCAACTCTTTCTTGACAAGTGAAATTTTCGTGAATCGTGGTCGCTGATTGATCGATCGCTAATGCACGAAAACTCGAGCTACTCAAAGGGAAAAATGTGACCAACTTTTGGATTTCGGCTCAAAACGATGTTAAACGACTTCCTCCTTTGTCCATCGAGGTGTTCGGATCGAACCCAAATGGTATTTGAAAAGCTCGAAAACTCCGAGTACGTTACATACGCACGCGTTTGTACCCTAATGAAACAATATTCTCTGTGGTTAGTGGCGGTATTTACTTCCAACTGTCATGTTATGACCATAATTTTCAATTCTCAATATTCTAACGATCATTTGGGATGTTTGTAATGCACTACTCATGAGGTTGCTGAAAATTCATCGACAACCTTATGAGTAGTGCATTACAAATATACATGTATCGCGATATTTCGAACATCGTGGTGAGTGAAGCATGATGCCCCCTGGTGCAGCACATTCAGTTGTCTGGAAATCTCAAAACCGGGAGATTCAGCTGGGTTCCAGATGAGTCTCTCGCAAAACCAAATTTGCTTGCAATCATTTGCTCCCTAATCATTTCGTATAATTTCACACTCCGCTGATCTATCAACTCTATGCTTCCTTCCCAGAAATTGCACGAATATCAATCCAGCCTCCAGTCCGCTCCTTTTTATTTCTATTATAACGCTTTGGACGAAGCGCCATGCTTCATGTTGAGTTAGAGTGCATGCGCACGCAATATTTTTTATCGTTCTGTCTCAGTTTGCAAAGAAACGCAACCTTGATCTTGTGTGCACAAGTTCTGTAGAATCGCCGCTATCTGGCAATTCATCTCCATTTCAAAGCAGACTGCTCTGAGTGGTTGAGCAGGACTTCGTCAACTTCGCTTACTCCACTGACCTCGGTGGTGTCATGATCTCAGCTATAACGGTGGTTTTCAGTCCATTTGAGTGTTGCTCCGTGAAACTGAAGTGTTTCCAGCTTAAACACCCAAAACATTCACCAGCACGTAGAAATCACACCCGAAATAAGGACTCAAGTAATTCACTCATGGCTGCTAACCAAGTATTTACAGATCATTCTAAAAGCAGAACAAACAGTCTAACACTCCGCGTCAGCTACCTGCAGGTTGAATGAGGATGATTTTAGCGAGTGACAGGTATGATGAAAACTCCACATAATCTACCGCTGGTTCCGGTCTTCATCGATTTAATCATATGGACCTAGTCGCCCGATTTGAGTATTCATCATACCAAGTGTTTGTGAGAATTTATCGTGGGAATAATCCAAATATTGGTGCACTAATGCGGCCACAATGTGTTCTGATCAGAGACAAAGATGAGATTAACGCTGTCTGCTAGCAATGCTTAAACAAAGAGCAAACCCAAGTAAATACATGACTTAATGCTTCTGGTGACTGGCCACAGGATCATTCTGATGAAACCAACACAAGAAGATGGGGTATTCATTAACTTCACTGAATGTATGTGATGGTTGGACACTAACGTGAGAAATACAACTCTTGAGTACGAATATTCCTTGGTTGGGTAGGATGGGCTATTCGCCCGATAAGTGGGACCTTAAAGTGTGTGCATCTGGCGTCTTCCTTGAAGATGGCCTCTATTTCGGAAGGGAGTACGCAGAAACAGAGCGGATGCCCTCTCTGGAGGAGCGACTTCTTTTTTAGAAAGAAGCCCTCAGATACAGTTACGTCTATGCAACTGATTTTAGTGAGCTACAGATATGGTTGGTCCTTAACCCGTCAGAATCAAGGATTTATTTGCTCAGTGAGGGAGATCAGACAGTACCCACTCCCCTTCATTCTTTCCACTGAGCAGTACTGGAATAACTTACAAAAGAAAGGAATTATTTGGCCTCTTTTAGTAATGTGATATGTTCTCTGTCGAACAAACTAAACCGTGAATTCGGACGGTTGCCATTCACTTCCCACGGAAGTGGCTTTCATCCAAAAATATCTGTCTGAGAATAAATTACCAGGAAAAATACAGCTTATTGTTTGAGTCACCTACATAGATTCGTTTAGCCCTCAGCTTAGACAACTAAGGGAGCACTGAAAGAATCGCGGACCCGAGACGGAACATTTCCAGCCATGTAAAACCCTTGCCCGATGTGTATCTGACCATGGACGAATGTGAACCGTAGTCACCTACGGACTACTCAAGACAGAAATAATCCCTCTGTTACCAGGTATACGTCAGACCGCTACCTCACAAGCAGCAAAAATAAAGTCACCCTCGTTGTATGGGACCAAACGTTTCGGTTGTACACAGACAACACTTCCGCAGCCCAATCAGTTGATCTGCGGCTAATATTACTTAGAATACACGGATTCGAATGAACGCATGAACGCCTCCAACTTGTACGGGCGGTACTTCATCAAAAAAGGCGTAAAAGATACCTCTACTTGAAGAAAAACTTTGGATGCCAATGAACTGGGGAAAACCCTGGAATCGATTGAGGAATCCATGTTGCAAAGAAGCATGACAGGTAGTGTGGAAACTGTAGTTCACAGTAGTTTCTGAAGGCAAATTCAGTTCAGTTCACTAACAACATGGATGTACAATAGGAGAAATCCTGGAAAACCCGCCGTGTCCTTTTCCATGACTTCAGATGTCTTTCCGCACAGACAGACACTTCAGGCATCCGAAACATTGCACACAAAGCCAATCTATGATTGGATTGCCTAACAAGCGCCCTCACGCCGTGATAAGGCTATATGGGTTTCATTTCGGCCGCAAGGAATAGTAGGGCAATCATTATCTCAATGAGAAACAGTTTTCTAACAAGAATGCCTTTCAAAAGCTAAGCTGAAGGACTTCTACTCAGAAATACACCTGAAAACGCAGTTTTGTTACAATCATTAAGATCTATATATCGAAGACAATTATTTACCCTAATGTCTCCCTATGAGAATCTCATGTGTTCCACATAGCCGTTAATCCCTACAGGTCCGAAGTTTTTCTGTTAGAACACTGAAATATCTAAAAGGAAGATAGAGTACTGTAGTGAAGATTTCATGATGGCGAAAATCATTTTCGACACCGATTAAGGCGCGAAATAACTAGATGAAAGGTGCTTGTTTCGAAACCAGTCCTGCGCGTCTCAACGGCTTCTGTATTTGCTTGAGCTCCTTGGCAGCCCTCGTCCTCCCTTCGGCTAGGCACGAAAAGAGTGCTACACCTGAAAGACGTTCATAATTCGGACTGGTTAAGAATCCTTCATCTTGATCTAGCCTAATGGAGGTATAATGGACAGTGTTTTCACTCGGTAGGGTGTTAACCAAGGGGAGAATGTACAGCTGCACAATTTTGACTGGTAAAAAGATGTTGGGAACGATAGGAATCAGTATATCTATCGGTATATACAGTCCAAAGCTAACAGAGCCGAACTAATGGAGGTAAAGCGCCTATTAGGCCACATAACCTCCGACGTTTTTCAGTCATATCGATCAAGCACGGGAGCTCTGTGAAGTCCTTTTCCATAACTGAATGTTTTTTAGGGACATTTCCAAGATCCCTTCTTGAGAGGCAGATGCAAACAGTGGTTTATGGCGTTATCGGTGTTATCGGTAGAAAGTTACTACATAGAGGTGATTTTGAAGTTGCATCACCATAGCCAAAGAGTATCTGCAACCTATAGCCCGCCAGATGAATCTGGAGTGCGATGATACTCTATCCAGCCTCTACCTGCACAACATTAGATTTGGAACATGATTCATTCGCTATTCAGTACAAAAAGTATCACAACGGCGAGATTTCCGTATACCAAGAAAATCGAACGGCATTTGCAATTCGTATGTTTCTTTTATTCTCAAGTTTCAGGTCTGCCTAGAAAGCAGAAATGGGGTGTACCGCATGTCACAACCAGTTGGTAGAGTATTTTTGATATCTGAACTGGAAATCCCGGTGCAAGTTGACAAATCCCAAAGGAGATGTTGCTGAGATGAAGCCCAAAATCAACCCATGATTCCACTTGGGAATCTGAAGATAGGGGGTCGTTCGCAGACAGCCGTACATGGACAATGGATTCGCGCAGCATTGTATTGGCCAGGAAGCGCTTCGATTTGAATAAATGGCAAGCCAGAGTATCGGGCTGGTATGCTATGTTTGACTTGGTAGAACGCTTGAACGTAGATGTTTTCTCAGTACTATACTATATAGATGTAAGTAGTTAATAATGGCATGCAAAACGGATTTTTCAGGACCAATCGAATCTCGCTATCGCAAGACGA